CATATGACAGAAATATATGGCATCAAAAATATTTCCTTCTGTAGCAGCAGAATCTTTGTCGAGAAATGTCAATGTTGAAGGAATATCTTGTTCCGAGGTCACATATGTATATGAGCGAGTTACCTAACGAAGATAGCACAAAGCGGAAATATGCGATAGGAAACTCGATATGGTTTACATAATGACAAAATTGCATCAAAATCGATCGAACGAGTCCGATCGTTGTGTCGTCCGAGCGTTGCAAAAGAAATTGATATTAATATCAAGCGACTTACCACCGTTCGCGACAGGTCTCTGCGAGGACACAGCAAATCTAAGCAGAATAAAATGGCTGAGAGACACAGGTTAGGTTAATATCTTGGATCGAGTGCGTTCGAAAACAGTTTATTCGTAAATCGCGTCGGAAAGAAATTCGAAGGAATCGTTCAAGAAGAAACGATTTCGCCTCGAACCGAGATCTTTTTTAATGATTTAACTATTGTACGGTATGAATATGTTAGCTATCCATCTCAAGTTGAATAGAAGAATCTTATCGACCTCAAAGCAGCTTTTGCGGGCGAATCAAAGCCCCAATTGGAGCTTTGCGTACGGGTCTTAACGATCTTTCTTCTTTTTTTTCTTTTTAGGTCGCGTTCGATTCATTTGGCGACACTGTCGGGTGACAATTCGCGACCGAGATGCTTTGTCGGCTGTGTGTGTCGCGGTGAGATGCTTGATAACTTTTTCGGCGAAGTGTCCTCAGGTGTATCGCGGGATGCCTGGTTACTGGGGCGAAAATCCCGTAATCGGCTGAAAACCCGGGATTCTCTTTGTCGCACTGCGGTGATACATGCCATCACTAGGCGACTAGGCGCATCCGAACGAGGCAGTGGCGTCTGTAAATTTTCCGCGCACACGGTATAGCGATCACCGATCTCCGTCGATCCTCCGCACGGTAAACGTACGAGAGTTCGGACGAACTTCTATCCGGGAATCGCCAGCGGAAACGCCGCGAGAACGCTCCGTGCGTCACTCTGGCGCTTACGTTAACCAGTCCTAACGACTGAGTGACGCCAAGACTATGCTCTCACCGTAACAGGTTAAGGCTCAATTCTGGTTCAGAATTCTGACTGCACACGCCTTCGCAGATGAAGATGAGCGGGGAGATGTTTGATGGAAAAGACTATCCTACTCAATGGGCGCTCAATCCTTCTGCATATCAAAACATGAGTAACGATCAAGGTAGTCTTCTTCTCCTTCTCCAAGTGACGATCGAATCTCTGTACTTTATAGCGAGTCCCGCGAGCATGACTGCACTGACTCTGATCCGATATTATAAAGGCTGTTGAAGGTCCATATTCTGAATTCTCTTTCATTGATGATTTTCAAAGATAAAAGCGAAATATGAGTGCGATCTAACATGACATAAAATATCTAGTCTATGTTTAATTAAAAACTTGATGATCCCAACGTTGAATGTTATGTCAGCTGAGCTGAGTTTTATATTTTGAATTTATTGATAAATAATTTTATGTACAATAGTCTTTACATCAGTTCATACATCAGTTCAGATTAGTACAAATGATCAAAATCATCATTAATAACATAATATTGTTTATCTGAGAATAGTGGATTGGGCAGCCCTAGCGCAGCAATGGATAAAGATGAAAGAGACTGTTGTACCACCGGCTCCACCACCCCCCACTATTAATCCTATATGTTCCTCGAACGATGGCAGTGGAGAGGCACCAATGGATATGGACACTAAAGATGATGATGTGCCTCCTGCGCCACCTGCACCAACTATCAGTGGATCTGGTGAGAGAGAATGTATGATTTTGCTAGGTTTACAATTAAAATGGATAATAAATAATTGTATTTTGATATAATGAAATAGAGGCCTGGACTCAATGGAATCAGTGGGGTCATTGGAATGCTTCGACATCTGGAACTGGAAGTTGGGAATGGAGTGGTGTACCTCCACCTGGTGTTACCATGGGTCCTGATGGCAAACCGATCGGACTTCCAACTGTACCGGTTATACCACCTGCGCCGACAATATCAACCACCACTGATTTCAATACGCCTCCTCCTGCACCATCATTATATTCATACAATTCAGTACCACCTGGACAACCATACAATCAGGTATAAAAAAAACGATGAAAAAAATAGAATTTCTGTAATTTATAACAATATACATATATTTTTGTTCTCGCTTATATAATGAATTTTTATTTAAAAACTATTCTAACTACTTCATTATATACTTATTTATCAGGTTACTAATTATTGGTCTGGTGAACCACCTAACGCAGTATCGCCACAACCACTTCCTTTCATGAAAGGTATGAGACACACAAGTAGAGGACCTCATATGAGGGTAATGGATACTGTTCGATGTCGAGATGACAGAGAAAAACACCAGAGGAAGATACCACTACAACTATAGGTAAAAATTACATTAATAGAAGCAACGCGAAGTGAATTGAATTGATTTAACATCTATGATAATCTCAATCACGCAAATCAGTATTTATATATTGTTAATTTATCTTATATAGATGCTGCAAAACGGAGACAATTACCGGCGTGGATCCGTGAAGGACTGGAAAAGATGGAGAAAGAAAAACAGAAGGCCATGGAAAGGGAAAGGTTAGAGATGTTAAGAAAACAAGAGTTAGAAGCTCGCAAGCAGGCAGAAGACGAGGCGCGCGCTGTGCTTAATCCTAGCAAGAGTAAATTTGTAAGCATTGATCGCACGTTATGTCGTTTAATTCGATTCCTTGATTCTATTGATTTTACGATTGTGAAACAACACCATTCATATAGGATTCAGATTCGGAAAAAGAAACTGAGCAGGATTTCGAAGTTGCGAGTAATACACGTGGGCAGCAATCTGTGGAAAAGAGCTACGATCGTACTCCGGACATCATTGTTCGACCGCGAAAAACACGGTTCACGGATGCCGATTCGCCCGAATCTCACACAGGCCCTGATGAGAGTCCGACCGCTGCGACCAGTGTGGTTCCAGTTGTGCAAAAGCGGTCTCGAGAGGAAATCTTACAGGATGTAGTAAGTGGAAGAAATTCTTCATAAAATTAGTCTTTCAAAAATAACATTTTTTTTAATTGAAGTCAAATATTAACTGATTTAAATTGATTTAAGTTAATTGTACCAAGAATTTGGTTAATTCTAATTAATGTTACAATATTACGAAGACTATATCGTATCTTTCTTGCGCAGATGTTAAAAGTAAGGAGATCATTGACGGAAATACTTTTGGAAGTGACGAACGAAGAGATTGGCGCGGTATGCAGAGAGGTTTGGAGCCGCGCACGTGCCAAAGGTACCCCAGATACACACGATAGAACTAACCAATTGAATTTTCGTGCTTTTGCTCGTCGGAGCACAGAATACAATTCAGTGAGCCTGTTCGCCGCGCCACGTTGCGACGAAGCTGTGCGATTGTGTAATATAAAATTGAAAATATTAAACAGAGATATCTTAATATGTAGACTTAATTATTCGGCAATTTCAGGACATCCTATGTTTTACGTTTTCAGGGATTTGCGTGTAGCCTAAGGCACATATATATCTCTTTTGTTTTGATTACGTAATCGTCTTGTATTACGTATCGTATTTTAGACATTTTTACATACCGGCATTATATATGTTTATCAGCAATGATTTCTCACGATATATTTTTACAATAGAAAAATTCTCTAAGATATATATTTTTATATCATAGTGTAAACAATGTTTTGATAATCAGAGAATTTGTTTAATAAGGACATCTAGATATTAATTTAGTCAGTAATATTTAAAATATAACGATTTAAAAAATATGATTTTATTGTACCCATCTTACATCATGGGTATGGATATATACGCGATTCTTACAGATTTAAAAGCATTTAATTGTAATCCAAGTTTTTATAAGTATCTCTAATAACTTCATTTCGAGCATCACAAATTTTTTAAATTCCGATGATGAATATGTAAGCCACATAGCAAATCGCGCAATGTTAACTAATTTTCGTAGGATGTAGAATATTATAGTTTGACTTGTAAGTGTGGAATAATGCTATAAAGATTTCTTAAGGTACATAAAAGGAAGCGAAGGGACAAAGGGACGCCCTTGCGCGAATGAGTCGATTAAGAACCATTCGATATTATCGGGGGCATTATACGTGCGGTAGCACTTTTAGCGATTGCTTACTAAATGCGTGTGTATTGTAAGTCCCTGCAGGAGAGACCCCCGTCGCATCCCTCAACATGGCCCCTCTTGCTCAGATCACTCACAAATCACTCGGTGAGTACGCTTTAACGCTTTATTCTAACGCACGGCGATATCCGTAGGGAACGGCCGTAAGTGACGCAGTGACTCGTTGAGAAAAAACGAGTGAAAGTAATGAGAGAAAGGAAAAGAAACGAAAGAAAGAAAGGAAGAGAAGAGTCACTGCGTGTACGCATTGAAATCAACTCGATGTTAGCTCGGCCGTTCTCTCATAGAGATTATTTATCGCCGCAACCAAGAGAAGTGTCCTTCTCCCCCCTTTCATTCTTTCTCAGGACATTTCTTGATGAAACGGCTGCGAAAATTAGCCGGAGCCGAGCTTTGCATATATTTCCTTCCTTCTTTTTTTCGTTTTCTTTTCGTCACTCCGACACCGAAAGTGTCGTGACGCTACGTGCACAGAATGGATGTGATTGCTAGTTCTGTCTGCCGTAGGTCTGGGCATCTATGGCGACAGTAACAGCGAATCCGAAGAGGAGCAGAGTGAACACGCGCAGCTTCAAAATGACGACAGCGACGAGGAGTTGAAGGTAGGAGTCGTTTCGTGGACGATTAATTTTTCGCAGTGCGATTCCGTTTTACTCTATGAACCGATTTTTCAGGAAACACTAAGACGGCGACAGCAGGCATTCCGCAAGACGGAGGAGGAAATCGAGGCACGTCTCGCCGAGGAGGAAGAGAGAGAGGAGCAGCGCAACGAAGAGCAATACAATAATAAGCAACAGGAAAATCATACCGGTAATACTAGCTGCCGGGAGTCAGGTATGTTTCGACAGACAACTCACCCGTATGTGGCCGCTGGGAGACTGAGTGTAACTTCCTGACATCATACTTTAGTTGATGAAAAAGAAACGGTAGATAATCAAAGAGAAGCGTCCGAAACTTTGTCGAGCGGCGGTCAAAGTCCACAAGCGGCGGTACCGCAGAATGTATCAGCGACCGACGGCCAGCAAGTGAAGGCGAGCAGCACCGTGTCGGGGTCCGCTGATTCCGAATCGAGCAGCACCGAGTCTACAAGCAGTTCCGAGTCGAGTCGCGAGTCCGCATCCAAGAAGCATGAAAAAGCGCGCACGAGCAAACAGCAGACGCAGCAACGCGAACAGCAACAGCAACGTGATCAGCGTTACCATCGGCGGCGAAAGTCCAAGAGCAGAAGCAAGTCGCGAAGCGGTAGACGGTCCATCAGATCGTCACGTTCATCCGAACGTGGCGGTCATAAGCGGCGATCGCGTTCGCGATCGGCAAAATCGCGCAAGGATTATCGCTCGCGATCCTCGCGCTCCTCCAGCGATCACAGATCCAACCGAAAGCGTCGTTCGCAATCGCGCGAACGGAAACGTGCAAGATCGCGATCGCGGAGTTATCGACGCTCCAGGTCGACATCCAGGTCTACCGATAGGAAATGGTCGTCGCGATCACGCTCCCGCAGATGGAAATCTCGCTCGCATTCCAGAGATAGACGACGAAGCAGCCGATCGCGCAGCAAGTCATCGCGAGGAGCGAAGCGAGGAAGATCGCGCTCGAGATCGCGCAGCCGCTCAAGGGATCGCAGACGATCGAGATCGTACGTTTCCGGAAGGAGTCAGCGACGGAGCAGTAGATCCAGATCGCGGGATCGAAGTAGAAAGTCGCGATCCAAATCGAACTATCGCGATGGTAAGAAGTCGTCACATCGGTACAGGAATTGAGGTCAGGACCTGCTCCTAGCCCAAGGTTGTATGTACATTTTGATTGTAGCCTTAACAGAACAATACAAAAAAAAACAATGATATATTATTTTTAACAAGTTTGCTAGACTTGCCGCTTGCTAGACTAACAAAAAATCATTCTTGGACATTCTCTTCTTTTCTTTTATTCCATTATCGCGCATATTTCATTATTACAACTCTCAATTCAATTTATGTGATATCTTTCGAAACCTGACGCAATAATTAAGATTGTATGTTGCATAAATGATGCCTCTTCAATATTATTGTGAATCCTTAGATACAAACCTCTGATATTCTGCAAAATACTTTTCCTTTCTATCTGCTTTTTTCTATTTAAATATTATTTTTTATAATCAGCGCACGCGCGCACGTAAAATGAACAAACATGAAGAAATTAACAGATATTTATGTATTTTTATTTTTTCACTGTATGTATATAGTTTTATATTAATTACAGTTTATGTTATGTCATGCCCAAAAAATAGGAATATAGAATTAAAAAATATAATTTATTATTATGAAATGAAAACAGTGAAATTTGCTCAATAATTTTTGAGGATTGAATAATGACAGTTTATATGCAATAAACTTATTTGTAAGTTTTCTATAGATATATTATCATATGTTATGAATTTATCATAAAATTTAATTGTAAGAAATAAAAAAGTAAATTAAATGATTTAAGATTTATCAAGATAAATTTGCTAAACCTTAATTTTTATTTTTATTCATTGAGTATTTTCAACATAAATATTCCAACATAATATATTCCTCGAAAAATATTTTTCTTAAGTAGATATAATTCTTAATATAATATAAAATTTATACATTATTTTATTAATCATCTATATCAGTTCTATTTCCAAGATTTGTAATTGTGGATTTGGAATTAATATATGTCGATATTTATCGTTACATGCTACTAGAAAGACAACTATGTTGTAGAATCAGACAATATCGATATGTACTAATTTTAAGCTCAAAATTACAAATGCTGGACTATCTATTTTCCGTTATTTTTTGACATCTAAAATTTATAACAAGTTTTATTTGTTTCAAAATTGCATTTAATATCTGTATCTTGAAATAATTATTAACTAGTCATATGTATTCTTGTGCAAAATAATTTGATGTTGCAAAATAATTAATATGTGCCAATACAATATGAATAATATATAGACAATCATTTATCTTATTTTTGTTGAAAATTATTGATTGCATGAAAAAATTCATTAAGATGAAATGACATTGATAAAACGTAGCATATTAACGTATGTATAATTTTTTTGTTAAAAAAGCTATATGAATTCTTATTTATAATAAAAGAATTATAAAGAACCTGCACACTTTATTATTTTTGAAGTAATTTTGTATGAAAGAGGAAAGTACTACTGCAATGTGCTTTATTCAATGTAATAAATACAAATAAAAATTTTGATAGAAACACTTTGCAATGGTATCTTCCTATTTTGTATAAAATTATTCCAAATAAGATAAAATGTGTACAGATATTTTCTTTGTCTATACTATTAAATTTAATATTAAGTATGTACATGTATAAATAAGTGTTATATTATATAAATGAATTCGATAGACACTTTAATAACATGTGATATGTAATCGAATGATAAATATATCTGAATTTTCATAAGAAAAATTTTCATATACTTTGTATGAAACAAAAAGAGCATTATTCTCAGCCAAAATGATTGATATTTTATAGATTATTTGCCAAGATTTCGAGTCCTAGAAATCTTATTTTGTTTCAGCATCTTCCACTGGCTTCCGCTCGGCTTCAACATTTCACATGACTCAGTTCATCAACGTATACAACACATTGGTACAGTTATAATTTTTGAATCCACATCACGTTCACTTTCTTCTCTTAGATAAGAGTGTATAAAAACTCGTAACAATATAACAAATAGTATAATACCTATAATTATATGTTATAGATTCTATCTATAGATTCGTGTAATATTATTCGCTCTAATGTACAAAAGTCTATCTTTCCTTTCTATTAAAGAAAGCGCACGTAATCAAAATTTATATGATTACGAGAAAACGAACGTGAAATAAAGTTGATGCAAAATTAGTTGAGGTAGTCATGTCTTTCCTAAATCCATGCACATTAAAATTGTAAAAGCTGAGTATTCAATCAATGGAATACGCAGAAAAAATAACTATTAATAATATAACTGAATGTGGACATTTTGATTCCAATTTAAATCCTATTTCCTTTTTTCGATTCCTTGTTTTTCAATGCACAATGAAAAAGAATTGATAGGCTATGCAATGGAAAATTTTATTCTATGTGGACAATCGTGATCGAGCTAAAATTTGGTTATTAATAATTAATAAGGTATCTAAAATAATTTTCATTATCAAATTCGCATCGCTATATATAAAACAGAAATTATATTTTTGTGTTTTACCTTTATGGTATGGAATTCATCCTTTCAATCAGATGATTGTAAACGAGATCTCGTACGTGCAAACCGTATACAAAATCGAAATGATTTAATCGCTTTAGCGTCACTGTATATTTTTCTAAAATATTTGGCAATTTTCCATTTAATAATTCAACATCCTAAAATAAATAAATACGTTACGAATTTTAATGAAATAAGATTAAATATGGTATATGATAAATTAATAGCGTGTTTAATTACATTTGGATGAGCTAACCAGTCGTTCAAACCGTTATACAAAATCACTGGAGCTGTGATCCTTTCAAGGGGATATTCCGGCGGTACGAAACGTCTATAAATCCTAAAATTCGCCAATATACCGTAATCGAAAGGCCGAAAATGTCCTGAAATGAGGGAAGCGACTCTGTTATGAAAGCATAAAAACGCAGAAAAAAATCTTTGATCCTGTAATTAAATTGAACTCTAAAAAATTAATTTATTTAAAAAATTAATTAACCTGGATTCTGAATGCCCAAGGCGTAATGAACCAATTGCTTGTACGAGCATCCCGCCGGCGCGAACTGCAGATACTCCGCCAAGTGCGCCTGAAAATACGTTACTTTAATGTAAATATATTGGAGTTACGTTTAATTCGAGATCAGCTTGTATGATTTATACAATAATTTACATGATCCATCTCGCCGGTGCTAAATCCTCCGATCCACTGCACGATCAGTTCGCAAAAGTATTGAGTGAACATACCTTCCCGGCACAGAGTATACGTCACGAATTTTTCTAATTCTGAATTCGACAGCATTTCGAAATATCCGGTGAACTTGTAAAATCCCTGCCGGATATAATAAATCGATAAAAAGTCTCACGAAATTTTTAAACCTTAATTATTCCTTAAAATGTACTTGAAGATAAAACTAATTTGAGATTTTTACCTTAAAAAAATTCGCGAAGAAACTCAGTGGTCTCAATAGACCACTAATGTGTCCTGTGTAAGCCACGGGAGCTAACGCGGACATAAGCTTAATTTTCTTGTTGTATTCCGGTCTGAGAGACATGAGAACCCAAAATTGTGTCGTTCCTTGAGAGAAGCCTATGTAGAACAGCTGATTTTGTCCGGTTTTATATAATATGTAGTCTATCATAGCGGACAAATCATACAGGCCCAGTTCATGCCAGCTAAATAAAATATTCGCAAGAGTTACACAAATAATAATTATGAAATTATGATCATCGATTCATATCAAGTAATATTTAATAATTATCCTTAAGATAAATTAAAGTAAGTCAAGTCAATTAAATCGTATTCCCGCAATTAATCTTATGAAAATGAAAGACTAAACCTCGTTTTTATTAAACTTAACTTTAACTGAAAACATGAAAGGTACGATGCAGAATAGTGTTCTTGAGTTCTGATACCTGAAATCCCAGAATTCAGCGCTTTGTATGGAAAGGGTCGTGTGATTCTTCGAGTTCGTGGTCCCACGAGAATTACCGAGCCATACGTCATAACCATCGTCAGCCAAAAGATAAGCTAATGATATTAAAAGTAACTTTTTAACCAACGTTTATAAAATCTAATAAATTAATAAGGCTCGATTGAACGCAGGATTGATTTAATTACCAATTGATCGATTTCGTCCCGTTAACAACCAATCCGCCGAACATCCTAATAATCCGTGCATGATCAACACCACTCGGCGATTCTCAACAGTTTTATTCATTCGCGGTATCCGATGTACAGCCAATATATATCCATCCCTAGTTGTTACATGATGAAGCTCAAAAGGGTAACCGCTCTGCATTACGTAATCTTCCTAAAAGTAACAACAAATAATTCGGTAAACCGATAATAATTACTAATTAAAAATTTGACATTTCAACAAATTATCAAAATTCATAATTAATATAAATAAAATAATAAAAATTTTTATTTATTTTTATGTTGTGTGAATTGTTAAAAAATCGCGCTTTTTTAATTTATAATATGTCAACGATCTTTTAAAGTTGAGAAAATAAATTCTTACGATCCAATTTATTGTACGCTTTATTAAAAACAGTTTGCAGTACTTTTAATTATTTCACTTACGATCAATAAATTGGGATCGGTACTCGGAGGAAATAATCCACGTGTGCGAAAGAGACCGTTTATTTGAACGATGAATCCATAACATAACAGAGGGATGAAATACCAATATGTAATCATGTTACAGTCAGTTTAACAATGTTTGCGACGTCACTTTTACACTTTATATAATAAATATATCGTTTACTTTACGCAGCTTCCCGTACAAGTAGATTAAAAAAAAATTAAACAAAATAATCACATTACACACTACTTTAAAACACGAGCTACAGTAAGTCAAATGAAATCTTTTTACATAATAATATCGAGACTAAATAATTCATAAACTTTTCCTTTGATAAAAAATGCAAATATATGTAAAAGACAATAAATATAATCTACTTCAGTATTAAAACGTGACAATGCGAGAAAGCGCGCGAGCGTTCCTTTAAACGGTCGCGAGGGCCTCCGCACACTTTTATTTATCCTCCTCACCCTTCCGAAGAGGTGATATTGGTTTGGATAGGCACAAACTGAGACTGGAATTTTAACAAATCTACTTCCACGCGCAGCCGAATTCGTTTCCGTAAATCCCTCCGTCGCCCCGCGGCTTCTTATCCATTTCTTTTTTGTCGCTCACGTATGCAAGGCCGCGTTTGTTTTTAATTTCATGACACGAATCTCTCAAAGTCCCAGCGGTGATACCGAGAAGATGAGGCAGCCGGCGGGCACGAGCACATATTCCCGCTTCCGATGCGCGATTACAGTGTCCACTGACGTATTAAATCGACGGTATTTTATAAGACTTATTACGTAATTAATTGATATTGCCAAATTTATGATATTGTCTGAATTTTCGGATGATGATGCATCAAATGCCTTTCGACATTTTATATGATAATGCACCGATTGATTAATTGTCAAAATTTTTTTCGTTGTCGCGAAATCAAGTAACTTGAATCTTACTGAAAATATGTGTTTTGCAAATACATATGCAAATATATGTGTACACATGTGTTTTATATATGTACGTAAAAGTAAATAAAAATATGAACATAAAGTATATACATAAAATGATTAACTTACATTTTTTAGCATTTTTTACTCTTTTTAAAATATATACAATCTTGTTGACTTTTGTAGTCTAAGAAAAAAATTCAGACAAAGTTCAGATTTGTTGAAATTGTTTATGTAAAGAACGCTTACGATGAGATATCTTCATATGAGATGTACAATTCAAAGTCTAGATAGCAGATTAACTATTATTTTATGTTCTAATAAAAACAAATTTAAAATAGCTCAAGTAATTTTAATTTTACAATGCAAAAGAGTGAACTAGGATAAAAAGAAGAAACACTTGAAAAATGTATATATAGAACGTTTTACATTATTACTTAACATATTTTCATGTCCAACAAGATTGACATACACGAATGTAACTGAAGTTATACATGTAACTAACATGTGTCTATAAAACATACATATTTGTTTCGTTAAGCAATAACGGAAATCATTGAAATATCATTTCAATCATTTCAATGGAAATATCATTTCGATCATCACCAAGTGGGGTGGCAAAGATAACTCTTCTTTTTTCCCTCATAAATTAAAGTTACAGAATTGTAAAAAAAGGAAAAAAGATAATTATAATATATCATATCGAGAATATATAAATAAGAAATATATTAGGACAAAATTATACATATTAATGGGATATATATATATATATATATATATATATATATATATATATATAGACAATAATGTTATTTCATTTCGAATTGCACAAGATATCTTTATTTATAAATTAAATTTATTTGTTTTCAAAATAATTGGACGAGACATAATTGAAACACATCTTCCGCTATCCTCGAAAAATCGTCCACGTTATTAGGGAAACATGTCTCGCAAGGAAGTTACGAGAGGTAAGTGAATCAAATTCAATTCAAGTTTCGCGCTTTTCCGAACTTAATAAAACAATTCAGTTTCAAGAGTTTTCGTAAGAATCACTTCAGGAAAGCTAATAGTTTGAAATGAGTTTAGTTTGAGTCACTTCTCGCAATCTCTTGTACAGTATGTTTTTCTTAATAATTCTGACGATTTTACAAAGGCATCGAAAGATATGCGTTCCAATTCTCTCTTTCTCGCCTAATCCATTATCTAATATTATTTTTGGAAAAACAAATATAGATATCTTAAAATACAATTCGATATGAAATGATATAATTGTGAAAAAACATACATATAATGATTATTATACATATACACACATATACAATCTATTAAACGAATGTTATTTATAGAAAAACTAAACTTTGACGAGACCTGACATTTATACGATAATCTAATATTTACGTAATTTTATAACGGAATAGCACGGAAGAGATGTCAAAACGCAATTGAATTGAATAGTGATTGAATTAGATAATTTTTAATGTAATATTTTTAATAAATGTGCTTAAAATAAATTTAAAAATAACATTTGTATAAAACAGGTATGAACAAAACAAAGGAACGTGTCAATTTGAAAATATCAAACAATATTAATTTACAATATTATGATGTGAGCAATTGAAAGATGTTTCTGATACATGCACGCGTTGTTTTTACTGGACTTTAGCTAATCCATGCGTCGCATGTCCAACAAATTTTAACTTTCTAGATTTCGATCAATGGGATTAATACTATGTGTCATAATCCTCATCAATGTTGGCGGTACGAGTAAAGTTTGACGTCGGCTGATCGCTTGCACTCGGATTAAGTTCCGTATAAAAATTTGGCCGACTAATCTGAAAGGCCGCAGGTATAGATGTATGGAATTCTGGAACTTGTGAATGCCCTCCCACTGTTATTACGGCCCTTTGATTAGTAAAGTTTAAATTGCTTGAAACCATGCTCGATCCATTATCTTTTGTATTCTTATGTATTTCTTTCGTATTTATTTCGGTGCTAACTGGCAATCCTAAATGTTTCTGATATCTGCAAAAGTATGTATTATAGTTATTTGATTGAAATTATCAGAAAAGCAAATCAATATGAAACTCACTCTAATGGATCAGAATGTTGCATCACTGTTGGACTTGCTGTAGCTGTGTTTGATACATTGATTTGCAATGGAGCAGGTGAAGGAGTTTCTGGTGACATAGGTACTTCATCATCGGGCCCTGATACATCAGGCAGAGATTTCACTAGATCCTTCAGAAAGTCGAATCTGCTTTCTGACAAGATACATTGTTTCCTGTAAACATATAAATTATAAAAGAATATCTACAGATAAAAATTCTTTTGTATTATAGTTTGTCCAAATATCTATAAATAAAGCATTGCTCTTCTTTCATTTGTGACGCTTATCGCATCTGTGGATAATTATTGAAAAATTTACTATGCCTAAAATAAACTTGTCTGACAATACTGCTGCTTACATATGAGATGGACTCAAAGTCTTGGCATTTTTGGCACTCGTAATCTGCATGGTCTTGGTTAACAAGGAGTGTACAAATAATTCCAGAGTCCTAGGTAAGCTTTGTTAAGGAACAATTAAACTAGATTGAAAACAATCAGGTCTTTGAAATTTGTTTACTAGAGAAAGCAATTAAACAAATCACTATTTCTTAAGCATTCTAAGATAATATTTCTTCTAACAATATACGTAAAACATTTTTAAAAATGATTTTTATAATAAGACTTATGAATACAAAGATCCATGTGGCCAAAATAAACAATTAAGCGAAAAAGAAAGCTAGAGGGGGGGGGAGGAGAGAGAGAGAGAGATGTAAGAAAAGGATATAGATTATGATTGGTACTGCCTGGGCAACCTTCCCCACCTCCTCATCTGTCTGCATGATCTTCTTGATACGACCCTGACAACAGACACGCGGAGTTTAGGTTATGTCATCCAAACGCGTCATCGTGTCGCGACGGCGGCTCCGGCAATCGGGAATGCGGGAATTTTTTTTTCGTCGATGATCGATAATCGACGTCGAGGACGCGAGTCGACGACGAGCGGACTTCCAATTCGCTCGGCGCATTCGCTCTTTTTCCATGTCGTCGATGCGCGTTCCGCAACACGAAACGAAACGGGACAGGTCGGATCGGGTCGTGAGGAAACAGGGAGGATTCGCTTACCGCTGGGAAACGGGCGTTGTATTTTTCTTTTGCTGGGCATGCCGGCTCCGTGATACGTTACAACGCGATACGGCACGGTACTCTGGTACTGGAGTGCACGGTACGGCACGGGCACGACAGGGTGCAACACGCGCGCACGCGATACGACGCGATTGCGTGCGTAAACAAACAGTAGTGGGGAAGGAGCGGTGAGGGGGGGGGGGGCGGCGACCGAGGGAATCTGCCCTCGCGGGCGGAACGGATGTCGTCGTCGCGGTCGCTCAAGAGGAAAAATGTCGGGAAGCGTCGGGGATCGGGATTATTCCGAGATATCTCACGCTCACGATTCGCAACATAGTATTCGCCTTCAGACGGCACGCAATTGGACGAAGTGCAGAGCGGAGGAATTCGCACGAGAATTACCAAGCTGATTGGCCGTCGTTTGGACAGACGTAGATGTGAATCAACGGACGACGAGAGACTTCCTTCTTTTCCACCCTGTCTAGTTTGTGACTTAACACGTGACGAGGCTCCCGTCAAAACTCGCACTGCTCCGATTGCTCCGCAGCTTCGTCATCCGATGATTTGACTGCAACTCGGTTGCAGTTAGTTCTATTAAAAAAAAATTTAAAAAAATCAAAAATTATGAAGTAGTTTCCTGATGAACGAGAATCCTGAAGCCAGAAAATTTCTGACTGTGCCAGACGCGTTAAAATGAGGTCTCGAATAATGTTGACAGTTATCAGATGACCCAGGGATGGATCGACTCTTGTAGCATCCTTGTTCTTAATTAGGTTGGTAACTTAATTATTCCAACGAATGTCCAGTGAAATGGCGAAGTCAGGTGACAGAATCGTCGTCTTGATCGACATGGACTGCTTCTTCTGTCAGGTCGAGGTCAAACTGCAACCGCAGTACGCGGGAAAACCGCTTGCAGTTGTCCAGTATAATCAATGGGAGATGGGAGGGTAAATAGAATTATTTATTCAACTCTTACCTTTTTGTGTAAAAATTTCAGTTATTGACTTTGGAGCAATATGATTGTAATGTATTTAATTGACTGTAGAATAATAGCTGTCAATTACGAAGCACGAAGTTTTGGAGTAACCAGACATATGAGAGGCAAAGAAGCGAAAGAAAAATGCCCAGATATTATTTTAGCCAGTGTCCCGTGCCTCCGTGGAAAAGCAGATACATCCAGGTAATAGTTTGCAATTAAAATAAATTTTTACAAACACAATATGTTGATTGCATGTTGTATGATTTAACACTGTTTAGCTGATATTTTTTAGATTTTATTTAGATCTCTGAATTATTTATTTTTTGAAATAAATATATAAATTAAAAATTATTATGTATAATCAGTTAAAATTAGCTTAACAATTTATATTATTTATATGCAGATATAGAAAAGCTGGTCGTAAGGTCATTGAAGTTATAAAAAAACATTGCAATGTAATAGAACGTGCTAGTGTTGATGAGGCATATCTCGATATTACAGATATTGTAGATAAAAGATTAGCCACATCTGAAATTTCTTCAAAAGAATTAATAGCCTCTCTGAAAAATACATATATTGTGGGATATTCCGAAGTTGGTAAAAATGATGAAGGTAATTTAAAAGTTAAATAAAATGTACCGATATTTGAAATATAAATGATTATGTCAAACCAATGCATTATTATTTTTAGAGGAGAGACGTCAAGGACTACAGACTTGGATATCAGATTCTTTTCAAGAATTGCAAGAGGTTCAAGCTCAAAAGCTTGCCATAGCTGGTGTGATAGTTGAAGAAATAAGAGACAGTATATATGTGGAAACTGGATTCAGATGTTCCGCCGGAATTTCACAGAATAAAGTTAATATTCTTTCTTTTTTATATTTTAATATGTAACATATTTTAATGATTTGCATATTAATTGAATGCTTTCATTAATTTATAGATATTAGCAAAATTAGCATGTGGATTACACAAACCAAATTGCCAAACGATTTTACCTGAGACAGCCGTTTTAAGTCTTTATTCAACACTCCCAGTAAAAAAAGTCCGAAATCTTGGTGGTAAGTTTGGTGATGTAGTAGTTGAGTCTCTCGGTTGTAAAGTTATGGGAGATCTATTGCAATATTCTATGGAACAATTACAGAAACACTTTGATGAAAAAACAGGGTAAGTTGGAAACTTTTTTTCTGTGGACAAAGTCACGATAGTAATTAATAATTTCTGACATAATTGACTCTTTAGATTTTGGTTATACAATATTGCTCGAGGAATAGACGATGAGCCTGTCACTAATAGATTATTACCGAAATCCATCAGCGCATGTAAAAAGTTTCCTGGGAAACAAGCCATTACTTCATTGGAAGTGGTAAAGTCATAAAAATTAATTTTGAATATTATCTAAAAAATTTTCAAAAAATTTATGTTTGCAGATTGTATGAAAATATTTTGTGTTTAGTTAAAGCATTGGGCTGGAGATCTGGCAGCAGAAGTTTGTGAACGGCTTGAAGAGGATTTCATAGAAAATCAGCGGCGTGCAACGTTACTCATTATCTCTTACCATTATTATCAGAATAGAAATGTTATATCCCAAACGCGTTCGCTTGCTTTGAACTCATATAAATTAGAAAAAATGGCGAATCAATGTGTGGAGGTTATCACCAAGTCTACACAATGTCCAGTAGTATATATGGGCATTTCCGCCACTAAATTCGTAGAATCAAAAGAAAGTGATAGCTTTCTGAAATTTTTTAAAAATGCAAAACTGAAAGATAAGGAAGTCTTAAATTCGCCTGGAATTACAATAAATTCTATATCTAGTTCAAAAGTAAATGGAGAGAAAGCTCAAAAAACTAAAGGATCTTCTATAATTACTGAATTAGATGCAAAGAAAAGTGAAGGAAATAAAAAAATTGTCAATAATTTGTTAAATATGAGTACGGAAGATTCGCCTACTTCACAAAGAGTTTCTAAACTGATTCAAGTTTGCAACGAACGCGATAAAATGAAGTCAAAGAACAAACGTTTATCGAATGTAGTAATAAATAATAATGATTTCCAAGATTCGTTCTTTATGAATATATATAAGACAGAAGAGAAAAAATGCTGTGATACTTCTGACAAAAATATTATGGAAGAATCAAAATGCAGAAAACAATTGATTTCTGCAAATGAGAAAGACGCAAATGATGAAAATATTGATGATTACAATACAGATTTATGTGTGCAAGAGAATATTCATGAAACACCTTCTACAAGCTATATGAATATGAATATAAATAGTAATAATAGAAAATCTGCAACAGAGAGTAATGAAAAAACTTCTGTAAAAGAGCCTTCAGTGCAATTACAAGAAATATTCCCAGATCTGAACAATATAGATCCTGACATCTTGTCCTTATTGCCGGCTGATCTGCAGGAAGAGGCAAGACTGTACATGAAATCGCGAAATAAGAAACAGGAAAACGTTAAGGTCGCTCGAGAATTACCAAAGGTAGGAAGGGGAAAACCTAGCAAATCCAAAGTGGCCGGCAAGAACGACAAAAAATGCAATCCTTTATATAATTTTCTGATCAAGACTGACTCATGCGAGCACGATGCGCCTTTAGAACGATGCGCCGAGTGCAATCAAATGATACCTATAACAAAGTTTGACGAACATATGGATTTCCATGTCGCACAGAATTTATGTCAGGAGATTAATAAACCCACATCAGGTGAGAATGGAAATATGAAGAGAAAAATTGAAGATGCCGAAGTAATTATTTCTTCCGTAAAACGACAAACGTCAAACGCTTGCAAACCCGAAAGGGATTCCCAATCCATACCTACATTTTTCTCGTGATGATGTCTAATATTTAATCACGACAATTCATCCTTTTTTATAGTCGCATGTGATTATAAATAAAATGATTATATGATGTGATTATAGAAAAAATTGTAAAATAAATATTTTGTGTATATTTTATATATTGTATATCATTAAAATATAGATATGTGAACTCATAAAATGTGAAATAAATTACAATATATTAATATATTATCAATATGATATATTTATTGAAAATATATTAGAACATTATAGTTATTTTATACATTATTTTCCCTTTCCTGATTCGAAATTCTAATTTTATTTCTTTATTGATTGGGTTTACATTGAAGTATAAAAGTATATAATTAAATATTTTGTAAAAAAGTATAAATTATAAATATTATCAAACAATTCGTAAAAAATCTATACATACATTTACGTTTTGTTCACTGGTTTTTGTGAGCTCATTCGATATTGTCATATATGTCGTATGAACTCGACATAAGGAGAATAGAAGTCTGCGCCAGAGTTGTTGACACGTGCTCGATTCGCGCGACGAGATTATATCGAAGCGGTTTTGTGGTTAACATTGCGAAGGAAAACGACGTTTTCCATGGCAAATTTAGGTAAAAAACATTAATGAAAGTTTTGCATAATGAGTTGTAAAACAATAGAAAATCGCAATACATTTTGTCTGTCGTACATAGCAATAAGCAAAAGGGCTACGCATTTAACTTATGAAGTGTAAATAATATATTTTCTGATTATGGAGTATTTTTCTAAGAATCCATTGTGTGGATCATTCTGTCAAAGAAAACATTTTTTATATGATTATTACATATATGTAATTCTCTTTTTTCTTTCAATTAAACATAAATGTATTTGTAAATGTTTTTCTTTTTAGGATATAATAACATGTCAAGCGACAGTGATAGTGGAGATGACTGGGAAGAAAACGGTGAGGATCATCATGATATTTTATGCTTATTTTGTACAGAAACTATTAATGGATTTCCTTCTGCACTGCATCACGTCGAGACTTTTCACAAGTTTGACTTCTGCAATTTTATAAGGAAACATATTCATGATACTTACTCGTACATCAAACTAATTAATTTCGTTCGTCGTAAGGAGATTTTACCTGAACAACTGAATACATTGGGTATAGAAGCTTGGGACAAAGACGAGTATTTACGTCCTGTTATGGAAGATGATCAATGGTTAATGTATGGCAAGTATAAAGAACTTGAAGTCAAAGCAAGTTTTTTTTTACATCTACATCTGATATTATGTAGATCATACTAATTGTCAAAATATTTTAATGCAGATATCGAAGATCTCATCAACATTAAAGATATGATTGAAGAAAGAGGAGTAAGACAAATATATCAAAGTGATGACAGTGTAATTTTGTCAGAGGCACAGTACGAAGATATGAAAAAAACTATCAGATCGCTCAAATCTCAGCTGAAGGAAAGTGAAACGACATGCTTCCTGGTGAAGCAGGTATAATTATATAATCATTAAATGTATTTTCATGTGTGATTTAATGTAAAGGAATTTATTTTTATAGCAAATGGAGGAGATGAAAGAGAAGGCTCAGAAATTGATCCTAGGTGATGATTTAGATGAAAAGGAAAAGAATACTCCAGTCAATGTTCATAATGATAAAGGTTACTTCAATACGTACAATCATTTTGCTATACATCACGAAATGTTATCGGTAAGTTTTAAATAAAAAAATCGATCAAATCTGTTTGTTCGTTTAACATTTGAAATTGCAAGAATATGAGTTAAATTATCTTTTTGATTGAAGAAGTTATATAAATTTTTTTGAAGATAGAATATTAGTTAATATATTATGATTATTTATGAAAAACTAATAGAGCTATATTTATATTATAGGACAAAGTACGAACAGAAAGCTATCGTGATGCATTATTAACAAATTCCAACAAATTTCATGATAGTATAATGTTAGACGTTGGTTGTGGAACTGGTATTTTGTCAATGTTTGCGGCAAAATCTGGTTGCCGTAAAGTTATTAGCGTCGATCAATCTGATGTGATATATCACGCTATGGATATAGTAAGGTATATTTAAATATATATAATAAAATACTATTAACTATAATAAAATACTATTTTTTAAAATCAGACAAATCAGAGTTTGAATTAGATCTTATATAATGAAAGTACAATAACATATCCACTAATTCCAGGGAGAACAATCTCAGCGACATAATCACTTTAAAAAGAGGTCGTTTAGAAGATATTAATATAGGAGTAGAAAAAGTGGATGCTATAATATCCGAATGGATGGGATATTTTCTCTTATTTGAGGGAATGCTGGATACAGTCATTTATGCTAGGGACCATTATCTGACACCAGGCGGAGTGATTCTTCCAAACAGATGTACAATTAGTATTGTGGGAAGTGGAGATACAAGTATGTATTACAGTTTTGATTCTACTGGAATAATTTTAGATATTTCCTTGACGATCTCTCTCTCTCTCTC